TTTACTGATTTGTAGTTAAATGTTTTTAAACCTGTCTTGATCAAAAATCTGTTACATTCAATCCGTATTCTAGCAGATGCTAGTGAATCTTTCAGGAAGAACTGTGTTGTTGGAATAAAAGCTAACGAGAAGAGGGTAAATTTTTTCTTTCTTTTTTTTTTCTTCATAGGTGAAATAGGAACTTTGATTCAAATATTTCTTCTAGATTAATGAAATTATGAACCAAAGTTTAATGCTTGTAACAGCATTGAATCCATATATTGGTGAGCATCATTATTTATTTTAATGTGTAGTGTGCATTTCTTCTTTAACTAAAATTCTTCAAAATAGGATATGACAAAGCAGCAGCGGTTGCCAAGAATGCGCACAAAAACAGCTTAACGGTAAACCATTAGATATTCTTTGAAAAAGAAGTCGAATAAAGAAAAATAACCATTATTCAATATCTCATTTTTGTTTCTAAAAACAGCTTAAAGAGTCTGCACTTCAGTTGGGTGTACTTGATGAGAAGCAATTTGAAGAATGGGTCAAACCAGAAAAAATGCTAGGTAAATCATTAATCATCCATAAATTTATTAGCGACAATTAAATTAAAAAATATTTCATACATCTTATTTCAGGTCCCAAATAATTCAAATATATATATAATATATTCTCGGTTGAATTCTTATCCGTTTTAATTATACTTGCCGGAATAAAGTGCTCATATCTTTATTGGTTTGCTGATTTGTTCCCAAATATTTAAAATATAAATATCACGACTCTTAAATAAAGTTTATTCTTGTATTCAAAGAAATTTTAATATTATTAGTAATCTCTCCGTATTGTTCATATTTACAAATACTTTGAATAGATCATGGTTTTAACTTGTCGCGGCCGCCATCGAAAGATACTCTTTCTTATATAGTTTCACCCGTCAATGCACTCAATGCCAGGAATAATGGTCAACTGCTTAGAGTCCTAAAAAAAGAAATCAGTTCTAGAATCAAAGAGATCATCTCAATTCTTCAAAGAATATTTAATAAATGTGATTATTAGCGAAAATGATCAATTAACAAGAGAATCGATATATGAAAGAATGGATAATAAAGATGAATTCGAAAACAAATTTCTCATAAATATGCGGGTGGTAGTGCTGGTCAAAGTGCTTTGATTCAAGCCTTGGATATTGTGCTTAACACCAAACATTATAGAATACTCATCGAACAAATCTTTTCTAATAATACTCTTAAAACAATACACTTTTAATAAACTCAATAAGCAACAACAACCTTATCTATACAAAATAAATCAAAAAAAATGCCTGATCACATCGAGGATCTTTCTAAAGTTATCTATATTCGTAATTACATTATTTTACACTTGAACCACACAATTTCTTCATCAGGCAAAATTAATAAAATATATGGTTTGGTTCGAGCACATAGTGATTGTTTGACTCGAATGAGGAATCATAGAAACGAGCATCTACAAATATTTAGTGCTTACAGGCGATATCAGTACAATAATTTTACTATCTTCATAAAATTAAACAATAAATTCTTTCATATGAGACAATTGAAAATAATGCGTGTAACAGTATATATCACATGGTTTATATAAAATAACATGATTACACATACAGTCACCTTAAAAAGCAAGGCCCAATTTATATATAAGGATATAATAATTAAAGCATGACATTTTTTATTTTTGTTATTTTTCAATACCTATTCTTTTATTGTTTATTTTTTTGATCTTCCTTAAACATTTTATCTAAAAATTTTTTTTAAAAAAATAATATTTACTTATATTTAGCTAATTGATAAAAATAAAAAATATATATTAGATTTGAACAAATATCTTGTGCTAAAAAAATAATACTAAATATAAATACAACCTTATTATAATACAATGGTTTTTTCACAAGTATAAAAAAACCGGAAAAAGAAAAAATCATTTACAATTTGAAAGATTAAACATTTTTTTAAAAAAAGAAAATATTTATTTAAAAAATTATTATAATATAATATAAAATCTCATATAAAATTTTACAAGGTCTAAAATTTATATATAATATAAAAATATACTTTATGATATTGAAATTCATTTATATATAATTACAAAAAATTTTTATATTTTAAAATGTTATATAAAAACATATATTAATTAATATAAAAAAAATTAAGAAAATCAAATTTATAATTAATTGCAAATTATTTTTCTAATAAAACAAATATAAAAATTAACAAATAATTAAAATAATATTTATTTGATAATATTTAAATAACAAATATAATTTAAATTACTTAATATTTACTTTTAAAAATAAATACTATTTGATTATAATTTAAAAAAATTTTATAAAAAAAATTAAAAAATTATTGATTTTTTGTAATTATTTTAAAAATAATAATAATAACCAGTATATCTTTTTTAATTATTTATAGAAATTTTAAAAAAATGAAAAAAAAAAGATTAAATATAAGAAAAATAATAAGTAATTAAGAAAGATTATTAATAGTATTTTAAAAATATTGAAATAATATCTTCAATAAAAATTTTTACTTTTTTTAAGAATCTTAATTAATAAATTGAAAAAGAAAATTAATATTGTTTATATAACTATTTTGCAATATTTATTTGATTTAAGATAATAATCTTAATTAACAAAAATTTTTCTAATCAATTAGTTATTTTCAATATAATCAACTAGTTGCAATTAAAAATTTTAAATTCTGATTGATTAATTTTGAACTTTTCAACTAATAATTTGTAACACTAATTTTAGATATCAAAATGGTCTTCCTTTAACAATACCAATATTAATAAACTATTGATATATATATATATCAAATGGATCTAAAAACATATAAATGATAATTGAGAAAATATTATCTTTGTAAATAAGATAGCTTTTTAATTATTTTAAAACACAATAAAAAAATGATATAAAAATATAAAACTATTAAAATTCATATATAAAAATTGATCAAAAGTTTTTGTATAATAGCTTTTGTACAAAAAATAAAACAAGCTTATTTTATTTTATTTAAATTATAAATTTTAAATTTTATTTAAAAATTTTTTAAAAATATATTTTTAAAATCTTAATAATGTTGAAAAATAATTAAAGATATTAGTAGAACAATAATTTTAAGCATATTAGCAAACTTTTCAAAGTATTTCTTAATAAAAATATTATATATCTTCTGAAATGAATATTAAATAATTCTAATTTAAATCTAATCAAAAATTTATAACTATTATTAAGAAACATATAGTAAAAAATTATAAAAAAAAATTAAAATTAAAATTAAAATTTATTATAAAAAAATTAATAAAGCCAATAAAATAACAATATAAATTAATAATAAAAAATAACAGTAAAATAATAATATATTGAAATTTTTTTAATAAAATAAGTTATTAATTAATTTTTTTTAAAAAAAATTTTATACTATTTAATTTATTAATTATGTTAGAATATTTTTTTTGTACTATGTAGCAATTTATTATATATGCTAAAATAATATTTAAATTTATTAAAATATGTTTAAAAAAATTAAAAAAAATATTTAAAAAAGACAAAAAAATTTTTTAAATTACATTGATTTTTCTAATAATAAATAATACTTATTATTAAAAATATTTTTATAAATTAAAAAATATTTTTTTATATTTACTTTTAATATTGAAAGTTGAATATATATTAATACTATTTAAACCAAATTTGAAAAATAATTTTTTTTTTTCAAATATTTATCTAAATCTAATTTTTTTTCTTTAAAATTTTTATTTAATTTACAATAAATTAAATATTTATATAAAATAATATTATATATTAGGATTTTAAATTCAACAATTTTATTATATCTTTGAATACTATATTTTATTTAATTAACTTGTATAAATTAAGAATTAAAATATTAAATAACTTTAAATAATAATAATATAAAATAATAATCAATATGTTTTTTAAATTTATTTAATATTAATTGAAAAGCTTTACAAAATATTTCTTGAAATAATAATAAATCTATATTTATAAAATTAAATTTGATATTTATTTTATTATTAATTGAAGATTAAATTATATCTGATTGTAAATAAGATTCAAAATTTATAAATGTAAGATATACAATAGATTTATTACAAATTTTAAAAAATTCTACACTATTATAAAAACTATAATAATAAAAAAAACAATTAATAATTAATAATTAAATTAATTAAAATTATAAATATTATAACATATCTTTTTGCATTAAATATAATAAATATTATTAAAATTTTAAACATAAAAGTATTTGTTGAATTATTAAATATTGCAATTAATTTTTTATTGTTTTGCTTTCATTATTTATTTTTATTTTTTGAAAAAAAAATTTTTTTAAATTATATAAATGTTTTTTTATTTAAAAAACAAAATTAAATTATAAATTTCATTTGGTTTTTATAAATAAATAAGATAATATTAAATCATTAAAAAAAAAAAAAAATTAAAAAAAGAAATTTTTTTTTTTTTTACAAAAATTAATTTAAACAAAAAATTTTTTGATATTTTGTATTGCAACTTCTAAAAGTTTAAATTTATTATATTTTATCCAAGTATTATTAACTAAATTTAAAATATGTATCAAAATAACAATTATATTTCATTTAAAAATTAAAGAAAACAAAATAGTGAAAACTTTTAATATACATAAAGTATTATCTAAAATGAATAAAATAATATTTTCAAAAAAAAATATTATACAGTAAAATTAAATAATATATATAATATATAATTAATTATGCAATAAATGAATTATTTACAATTATTAAATATTTGGTTTTAATAAGTTTAATAAAATTTTTAAAACAAATAAAATATTTACAATTGCATATCTACAATTATCAATTGATTTATCAACAATAATTGAAATTGCTTGTTCTATTAAAAAAAGTTTAAATTTTTTAACTTCATATTATATACAATTGATAAATATTTCTTTCTAAATAGTGAATAACACCTTCTATTTATAATAAAAATAAATTATATAATTATATATAAAAATATATAACATAAATTAAATAACGTACTATTTTCACAATATTGAGTTAAAAAAGATTTAAACTTATCAATTTTTTCTAAAGGTATATTGGCTTGGGTAAATGCTCAAACCAGATTCACAACAGTCAATAAAAAAAAATTTTTTTTACATTAATTGTTTCGTGATTGCTTGACAAATCGACTGAACCCGTAAATGTGAGTTGACGTGTTTTTTGTGGTTTTTTTTTTTTATTATTTTTATATTTTTCGATTTGCAAATGTTGATCAACTAAAAAATTTTTTTTCATGATTTTTGCCTTCTACATAAAAACTTTCTCTGTAAAGGGCGCATTCTCCACAATATGCATCAGATATGCTGGATAAGCATAAGTGACAAATATGCGATCACATATGTTATGCAAAAAAAGGTCACATATGCATAGCACTTATTTCCGTTACTGCTCTTCATGTCACAGTAATTAATAAGGTTAATGAGGTTTCTGCGTGACTAAGCCGTTAATGCCGAAATTAGATTGAACCTCAATTTTCCTCGATCTCATTTTATACATAAACCGATATATAGTTTATCGATTTATTTAATAGTTCTTAAATTTCCG